GCAGAGGCAGAATCCAGTTATTGATTTTAACTGAAATTGAATGAATATTTTTTATATCTTACCGTGTAAGAATTTAATTATTAATTCACGTATGTTTTATTTACAAATGTTAATTTGCTTGCGGTTCAAAGCTCTTCTGTATCACACGTTGTATCCAGAAATTTTTACAATTTTGAAAAATTGCCACAAAATATTAAAGAACTGAATAAGATAGGCAAAGTTATTAGTTAAATGAATTTTTTACCATAAAAACTAGGTTTTTATGACGTACGATTTTCCTAGAATTATAGGTTGCATTAACTGCACCCGTATAGCTATTTTTACGCCAACAATTAACGATTCAGTTTATCCTGAACATCGATATATATATTATGTGATTAGAAAAAATCATCGTTCGACAAATTTACAATTGGTTTGTTGCAATTAAATTACATAATCCTTATTCTTTTATGGCCTGCACATTACTTGAATTCAACGATATAGACAGTTTACAGTGATGCCAGACATATTATTTGCTTGTTAAAAACGTACACGTCTTAAAAAACGAATACTCATCGAACGTCGGTCAAGAATATAGATTTCAAAAACTACTCGCTTTTCAACCACTCACTTTCGAAAACGGTTCGTTTTTTAGCGATTGTCGAGGATAGCCGCCCAGTAGATGCTGGAAATTTTTCAATTTGTAATTTTCATATTTAATGAGTTTAAATAATATTTATTCAATAAAGGTCCACAGTGGGCGAAGCTTACGCAAACCAGAGTATCCGTTTTCGGCCGCATTTTCAACCCTCTTGGAAAATTATAAATATTGGTCCTACAGTTCCGGAAGATGAAACTTTTTTGGGGAAATTTCCTCTTCTTTTTGAATCCTTTTTCAAATGTGGAAAATGTCAAATAGTTTTTGAGATATTTTCAAAAACCAAACCCATTTTTTTTTCAATTAGTTCATAACTTTTGCAATTTTTGAAAGCGGCTCTTGAATTTTTTCAAAAATCATCTACACGCTATTCCGAATCGAATGACACCTCTTTCATATTTTTCGGAGGCGCAGAAAAAAGTTTGACCCAAAAAGCACTTGTTAACTAGTCTATGAGACAATCCTTGTTCATAATAGTTTGTTTTTAACATAAATCTGATGACAGATTTTAAGTAAAGTTGATATGGTGTTAGTAAATTACTATCTTTATAGACCAATTCCGAAGAATATCTTTTATTTTTAAAAAGCATAATTTTTATTATATATTAAAGGAACCAAAAGTAGGTCTGTACGTACGTAGGCTCAGATTAGTAAAAAAATCTGATGTGTCCAACACATGACTTTCCTATCTAGTTATTACAGGCTTTTTCCGGTTATTTTGTACAACCTATTGCAGCACCTCTATAAATGTTTAGAGGATAAACTAAATATATACATTTTCCACATACATCTACCTCGAAACATTTTTCTATAGATATTCATTGAAAACGAAAATACTGAAAAATTTAAATTTAGCACTTTTCCTACAATTTTTCCATTACGGTCCATTTTAGAAAAATCATGTATAAACAAAAATTATAGAGATCGATATCGCAAACAACTTTTAGTTCAACAATTTTCATAAAAATCAGAATTTTGCACATTTTGTCAAATTTCTCAAATACGGACCATTTCAGGAAATTTTTACATTAAACAAAAATTATAGATAATAATATTAGAAGTAACTTTTATTTTAACAATTTTTTTCTCCAAACCTAAAAAACAGATATATTTCATAAAATATAAAAACGACCTCCCATAAAGTACCCCCCAGATGTTGCGACTTTGTCCAAAATCTAATCATTTCACGTCAGGCCGAAATAAAACTTAAGTTTAAAATTTAATGTTTTTTTCTTTATCCGTTTTTGAGTTATCTTCAAATTTTGAAATTTACACATTTTCTCAAATATCTCGAATACGGTCCATTTTAGAGAAATTATGTATAGGATAAAAATTATAGAGAATTATATTACAAACAACTTTTGTTAAAAAATTTTATATTTTCATAAAAAAAATTTTTTTACATTTTGTCAAATTTCTCGAATACGAACCATTTTAGGAAAATTTTGTATAGAACAAAAATTATAGATAATAATATAAGAATTAACTTTTATTTGAAGAATTTTCTTCCCCAAACGTAAATAACAGATATATATTCCATAAAATATAAAAATGACCACCTATAAAGTACCCCCCCAGATGTTCCGACTCTGCCCAAAATCTAATCAGCTCATTAGACGCTGGAACAAAGCTTAAGTTTTAAATTTGGTGTTTTTATGTTTATCGGTTCATGAATTATGCGACACACAGCCACACACACACAGACATCATCGCGAAAATAGTCAAAACGGATTCAGGGGACCTCAAAACGTAAAAATCCATCAAAAACTCGAAGTCGAAAAAAATCATGATTCCTATACTTTCCTTATATCTTTATACAGATAGGAAAGTAAAAAGATTTGTATTTCGTGCAAAATTGTTTATTTAAAATTCAAAGCCTCTTTTGGCATAACGCCATATTCAGTACTTAATGTATCCACAATATTATCCAAAAAGTTTAACAGTCATCTTTATTCCTAACATTAACGTTTGGAGTGTAGTGGAGTGTAGTTATTTGTGGTGGGACACTCCAAACTTTAATGTTAGGAATGAAATGACTGTTGAACTTTTTGGGTAATATTGTGGGGGCAATAAACACTGAAAATGGCGTTATGCCGAAAGCTCTTTGCATTTTAAATAAACAATTTTGCACGAAATACAAATCCTTTTTTGCTAATTTAATTTTATATTTTTGCGGAATTTGTAATTTAGAAATAATAATAATAATAATATAGTATATTACATTAACAGTGTGGAAAGTGACATTTCTCACACGAGTGGGAAATATTGTTGCACGAGGCACAAGCCGAGTGCGACTACTTATCACACGAGTGTGGAAAATCACTTTTCACACAAGTGATGTACAATATTTTTCCTACGACCACAAAATAATTTCATCAAAAAATGTAAAACCAGGTTTTTATTATAATTAAAACGTTTTTAAAAAAATAATCAACTATAATTGTATTTATTCAATTTTCATATTTTTCGAAACAAAAATAAAAAACAAAAAAAAACAAAAAAAACGAAAAAAATTCTGCAACCACCAAGTTTTGAACACGGGCCCGCGAACCCGTCGTGTAAGCCAAAGTTCAAATTGTAACTACCCTACAACCTAATGGGTCTTATGTCAAATGCATTTTTAATTCAATTTTAAGTTTAAACACAATAAAAAGCCAGAATAATGAGATGTATGTAGTTATTTTAAAATTATATTAATAATTGTTAAAAATAAATATCTTGGATCTATTTTAATTTTGAAATACATGGTCAATTTTTGGAAATAAAACAAAATTTGATTTTTCTCGAAAACGGTCGACTTTAGAGCGTATGACCAAGAGTACCTTTTTTGTGTACAAAACATTGGCGGTTCAAATTGGCGTTTCAAAACCGTACTTTTTTCAGTGGCGTAGAATTTTTTTTTTTTTTTAATTTCAACACCCTGTATCTCGAAAATGGTGCATTTTAGAGGGTAAGTTAATAGAAAGGTTTTTTCATATTTTTGGACGAGCTATCACGTCCTGAAGTCCTGGGCATATATTATGAAACACCCTGTATATAATATTTCTGTCAAAAAAATATGCCACCCAAAAAAACGAGGTTGGTTTCTAGCATCGTCAAATTTTATGATAGCGGTTGTGAACGTGTTAAGACTGACTGATCATCTACTAAGCCAAAATAAGAAAAATATTGAGTATTAGTTGGCCTATTGTAGGTTTAAAAAGTAATGTTATTTAAGGTCCGTTCCAACAACGATCAGAAACCATTAATTGACACCAGGATTCTGTGAAGGGGATAATTTGGCGCAGAATCCTAGTGTCAGTGGCTGGTTTCTGATCGTTGTTGGAACAGATCTTTAGTAATTCAAATAAAAGTATTACAGTAATTTTATAAAATGTATTTGAAAAGTTGATTTATATCACTATGTATATCAAACAGGTTGTAACAATTTTGGAGAGAAAGGTGTACCAACCTGAAATGGCAATAATACAAAAATGCAATAAAAGGTCTGTTCTGGTTTTGAGAAATAACGATCCACAACTGTCGGGCTCATGAGCAGTAGATAAAAGCGTTCTGTTTTTTTCTCGACTATTTGGGATCTCCCAGTCTAGTGTTTTGTAAATGGTACAGGATCCGTAAGTGGGTTGCCTAAGAAAATACGGTCACGGCCATTTTTTACTTTCTGTATGCAGATAAGGAAAGTATAGGAATCATGATAAAAGTTGCTTGTGATGTCATTCTCTATAATTTTGTCACTATAAATTCGAGATATTTCAGGAAAAGTGCAAATTTCGAATTTTGAACATAACTCAAAAACGGATAAAGAGAAAATACCAAGTTTTAAACTTAAGCTATAATCCCTACTGCGGTGAGCTGATTAAAGTTTGGGCATAGTCGAAGCATCTGGGGAATACTTTACAGGGTCTCGTTTATTTTTTACTTTAAGAAAATAAATAGTAATGACCGTATTTTCTTAGGCAACCCATTTGTAATTGGCAAGTTAGTTTCTATTAGAGAACAACTAACAGCAAGAGTGTTTTTTTAAGATTATTTAGAGTAAAAATAATTTTTATGAGTTCTCGCTTTTGATAAATGGACATTAGACCATCATATGAAAAAACTTTTGAAGGTATGAAATGACAGAATTAAAAGTTACGTAGCATCGACTGAATTTTAAAGTCAAATTGTATACATGTAAAAGAAAAGCCAAGACCAAACTCTAGACAAAGGGAACATATCCATAATAGATGTGATGTTCTAATTAAATCTAATCTAGCACACTTCTCATCTGAAAATAATCTGATAACCATGCAGTTTGAAACATTGTGAAGCCTCTAAAATGAAAAAAATGAACATCCTAAATTATCGTAAACATTTTTTTCAGATATTATGCTCATCCTTGGAGACGCATAGGACCACTATTTCCTTTATGGCATAAAGGTGAAAAAACTGAAAAGCAACCTGTTTACGTCGGGGATGTTGTTACTGGTATTATGAATGCCATTAAGGACCCAGATACGGCTGGAAAAATTTACCAGGCTGTAGGGTATGTATAAAAGTTTATTAATCATTAAAGACTGAATATGCAATAAAAATATCATACCAGATACTATAGTAAACACGCAAAAGGGAACAATAAAGGTGGGGATAAAATCGGAAATTCAATAGTCGCACTTCAATTTCAGATTTGATTGATTCAAAATGTATCACTGATTTTCCTAAAACTAAGACTGCTGATTCTTCACCATTAAAACATTATCAACTTATTCCATGTAATGTTCTGTTAAAATTTGTTGGAGCCAGAGAATGAATTTGTCTAAATTACATAAGCTTCAAATTACTGTCTAGACGTCTTTCAAAGTTAAACTCTACATCAATATTTAACTTACTTTCTTGCAACCAGCTGTAAAAGAAATAAAGTGCAAGTCTTTAACAATACCTGTATCCCGCGTGACTAAATTGATGTCACTAGTTGGCTAAAAGTAAATTAATATTTTTAGTAGTAATCCTAAAACAATGTTATTAACGTATTTAATAGAACTGATGGTCAACTTGTTATTAAAATTACTTAGAACGGCCATCTTCATTCAATTTCTTGATTTACAAGATCACGTGGGATACGGGCATTGTAGAAGACCATTAATTACCTCTTCGTTTCTTTCATTTAAGCATACGTTTGATTTATGTTTAGTAATTCTTTCACTTCTATTTTTATTTCCTTTGCCCTTGAAAATACTACCAACATTTATTATTTTTACTATTATACCTGGTTTAATCTTCCAAAGCGAAGACATGGGAAAGTAAACAATAATTTATTTATTTATTTATTTTCAGACCCAAACGTTATCTTCTTTCTGAATTGGTTGATTACTTCTACAGAATAATGAGGAAAGATGATGAATGGGGATACAAACGGTATGATATGCGTTGGGATCCATTTTTCCAACTTAGAGTTACACTAACTCAAAAGTTGTCTCTTAACTGGCCAATTGCACATCTCCACTGGGAAAAACTTGAGAGAGAACATTTATCCGATGATGTACAAAGTGATATTCTAAGTTTAGAAGATTTGGGAGTTAATTTAACTACAATAGAACAGCAAATGCCGTGGGAATTCAAACCTTGGACATATGCAATTTATAGAGGACAAGATCCAGATGAGCCATTTGCTGCTGCTGCTCCACCAAGAACTGTTAATGTCTAATATATATCTTTTAGTCAACTAAAACTGTTATATTATCTGTAATTATAAATTATAAATTCTGGAGCACTTTATTTTGATTATTTTTAAGAAGTACTAGGTCATTTAGGACCTAGGTTAAGTTGAAAATATCGACTTTCACTGCGCCTAAGAAGGATCTATTGTGGCTATGCCTAAATTATAATTCACCCTACAAACCACATCTTTAGTTATAGTAGGCTGTCAGATTTAAATTTTTGACACATTGACGATATAGGCTTTGTGTATAACTACTATCAGTGACATGAATGACAGTCATCAGTGACAGCACAAAAAGGAGATCGGTCCGCCACTTTGCTATGCCCCGTTTGTCAATTTCCTATTGCATATTTCTATAGTATCTTGTGTGTAATTATATTTAATTTTTATTTGACGTTTTTGAGTGTTAAAAACTATAAAATGTAAAATACCCTAATACTATTTTGCTCTCAGTAGTACACTCGTTTAAGTAAAAAATTGAACTGGAATTACTTTTCATAGGTTAGTATAAAAATTATAAATATACAGAACCGTATTGAAAATTCCAAAAATATCATCTATCAAATTTTTTGCCTACCTAATATTAAACAATTACAATTCTATAGAATTATTTGTTAATGCAGCAGATAAATATAATAGTATAATAATAATATTCTCCCTAATTCATCCCCTTACGAGTGAATTTTAACCCCAAAAGCTGAGCTTGTACGGGGAAAGGGACGCCTATTATTATTATTATTTGCCGTGGCGCTCCGGGGCGACTTAAAGATGATTGATGATGCCATTTGACTTACAGGTGAGGAGGAAAACCTCACCCACCATCATCGAGACGGTAATGCATGGCAAACTGACTAGATTTATATATATACGTGGAATTACTGGGACTCCGTTCCATAAATGGCCTACCAAAACTCCACCGTATATACGCCAATATATACAGCGTTATTTAATTCAACCACCATTAGTTGGATAGGTCAACTTAACGTCCACTATATACATTTGACATATGTTTTAAAGCTGTTTATGGTAATGCGCCTCCTCTAACTAGAGAGAACGTATTTACTGAGGCTCCAAGCAGTGTTGCCACGCTTTAATAATGTATTTAGCAAATGGAAGAAAAACTTAATTACTCAGACCATATGTTTTAAGTTAAAATAATAATAACCCGTTGAAGATGAACCTTCTTAGCGAGTAGTATGCGAATTCGTTGCTTTTGCCGGCAAATCAATTGAAATAGTTCTATTCTTTTTAAATTTTCTCAAACTCTGTGTGTATATATTATAATGTCTTTTTTGCTCAATACTAGTTTAAAATTGAATTTTTTTATTTTCATGAATGTAATAATGGTGTTTACAAGAAAACAAAAAATTAAATAATGTTGTTACAGATACCTCTCAGAAATTTTTCGCCGATATTATTATTACATATTAGTTTTTGAAAGATCTGACTAAACAATGACCGATATTGTTTTAACAACAATAGAAGAACATTTAGAGGAAGTAAATAATAAAATCACATCAATGAATAATATAATATCAGTACGCTTTAAAGAAAATAAAAATCTACATGATAAATTTGATGAACAAGAACAAAAATATAGATTGAAACATTTACGTCTATATGGGTTACCAGAAGGTACTAAATATAATTTATAAAATAATATATCTGTTGGTTGCGTTTTAGGTTTTAGACAATGCAGAACTTTTTATGAATAATAACTTTTTTTCGTTAATTTATTAATAAAGAAATTTTCACTATACTGCGAACTTAAGTGGACCACTGTATAATCAAAACTGGTTAAAAAATTATTGAAATCTGTCAATAGTTTTTTACTACATAATATAAATTTTTAAAAGAATTAAAAAAAAATCCTTAAAGCTTACTCATGAGTAAACATTATCCTCATTATACAGGGCGTAATTAAAAATGTTCATCCAGTTTTCCACTTCTGAATTTTAACATTATCAAAGTATGCCATATGTTCAAGGCTCAAAGGCATTTGATAATTCTGACGTTTTGATGAACTGTCAGTGTAAAGAAGAAAGAAATGAATCAATTAGGAGAGCAATAAACGCTCTTCGTAGACGAAGCAGAAAATGTTTAGAAGTCAATGGCGGTATTTTTGAACATTTATTGAAAGAACTCTATGATTAAGAGAATTTTTATGTGTAAATTTATTTATTTGTTAACATGCTATAACTTGAAAACAAATGAAAATCGGATAAGTACATATGAGTTTTTTACATTATTTTCACGTGTATAATATACTCCTAGAGTTTGGTGCGCTCCTCCCGACTCACCCTGTATGTTCATACGGTACGTCTGGACTCACTTTGTTAATTTTTAGGTTCACTAAGACTCTGCTGTAGAGTCCATATATCAGCGGAGTCTAAGTGAACCTGAAAATTAACACGGCTAGAGGCCCAGTCGCACTTTATAGATATAGCGAGATATATAGTTTAATATATTAGGACGTATATAGTACCTTAATATGTAACAAACTACAGTGTCATTAAAAAATATTTATTTATAAAAAATTCATAAAACATTAAAAACAAACAAGTAAATAAACATATTTGCTCTAAAAAACAAGCCATAAAAAGAAAACTCAAAATTCAAACTCCTATGTAGAAAATATTTAGTATTTTTTTGCGTATTTATTACACACTTTTATATTGCTCCATTTCCTAACTTTAAAAATTAATAATTTTTAGTTTAACTGAGACTCTGCTGTATAGTCCGTATATACTTGATAGCGGAGTCTCACTAAACCTGAAAATTAGCAAGGCTGGATGTTCAATCGCACTCTATAGATATAGCGCTAGATATAGTGTAGATTAGGAAAGTATATAGTACCGTAAGGGCGAAAGTTCCATTAAAAAATATTTGTTTATAAAAAATGCATACAAAATTAAAAACAAACACGTAAATGTAGATTTTTTAAATAAGTCTATCATATTTGCACTACAAAAACAAGCTATATAAAAAGATAACTAAAAATTCAAACTCCTATGTAGCAAATATTTAGCACTTTTTTGCGTATCTATTACAAACTTTTATATTATTGTCCCATTTCTTAACTTTAAAAATGATTAATTTTTAGGTTAACTAAGACTGCTGTGGAATCTGTATATAATTGATAGCGGAGTCTCAATAAACCTGAAAATTTGCAAGGCTGGAGGCCCAGTCGCACTCTATAGATATAGCGCTAGATATAATGTAGATTAGGAACGTATATAGTACCTTAATATATAAAGGACGACAGTTCCATTAAAAAATATTTATTTATAAAAAATGAATACAAAATTAAAAACAAATCCGTAAATGTTAATTTTTTAAATAAGTCTATTATATTTGCACTAAAAGCAAGTTATAAAAAGATAAATAAAAATTACTTATTACAGTCCCATTAAGTATCTTTAAACCTGAATAATTTTTTTTTCATTTGAAATTTTGGTAAACTGAACCAAGGAATGTGTACCTTTTTAATGATACTAGGTGACGTAATCATTAAAAATGGCGGACGGGAGCCGTCTTGGAAGATAATTTTAAATGGGATCATATGGCAAGTGATACATTATTTGAAATCTTGTTTCAAACTCTTTCCAATGACATCAATAACAATAAAATATTTTTTCTTCTTACTCATAACGAATCCTTTGTTTTAAATGTTCAATGCTATCAACTGGTGTACCACAAATTTTTAAACCTTTTCACTGTACTATTCTCGTTTAAAATCAAAGTTTTTTTATGGGTTCATATCTCATTACGGTTCAAAAAATAAATGGGGGTGGAGGGACTTTAGATCTGCACTGTATAGTGGAGAGCGGAGCCTATGTGAACCTGAAAATTAACACAGCCAGAGGCCTAGTCGTACCGTATACATTTTCAAAAATCTAAAGGCGGACCATATAAGCCAGATCCATTAGGGACGAACTTAAGTTGGAGTGAAGTGGAAGTCGTACGGACCGTGAGTCAGGCCATTGAATAGATAGTGCGCTGCACAGCTGATATCGCAATGGGTCTCAAGGGTGTAAACAGAATAATAAAAATACAACTCTGCTTCATCAGACTGACTACTTATATTTATTTAAATCTCTTTATTCCACACGAAAAGTTCGAAATGGTATATTTTAATTTTGGATATATGAAAATGAATAATCCCCAATACAACATTTCAGTGGAAAGTCAACTTCATTAATTTGTAGGACAACGTAACAAAACTTAATTCGAAGGAACATGAACTTAGATTGTTGTCATTAAGGTTAAGAATAAGTAAATGTAATGATAATCCCAATAAAACAAATTAACAAAATTATGCTACACAATAAATTACTATTATAATAAGCTTTCAAATAAGCTGTCACACTTGACTATACGTACCACTTTTTTATCGTGCTAAAGGGCGCTAAAATCAAAAGTAACACTATAAACAGTCATCATACGTTTTTTATTTAAATTGTATTGGTTAGTGTGAAGAAGGAGAGGGGAATGTTGTGTGTCAGTTTAGGATGTGATTAAAATGTGACGGACTTGGAATAAAAATTGACCTAATTTAAACAAATCTTTGTATTAATTTGAAGCAAGTGGTGATATAATTTTGAAATCAGCTTAATAAAGGAAGCTTAAAAATTTGTATGTTATGTTGGGAATGAAGTGTGTTAATACACTACGACCTAAAATATGTATTGTACCCTCTTTTGTCGCTAATACAGCAAGGAAATGTCTTAATGCCTACAATGACCCTTCCAATCATATCTTCCTTGAGTGGCTTCAAGTTAGGTTAATCTCACTCTTCTATTTGATATGCTCTTAGGTATAGTGCCCTTAGATTTTGGAGTGCTACACATTGTCAGAATGTGAATGGAGGTTTCGTCTTCCTCTTCAGAGAATCTGCTCACTCTCTTCTACTACTCTCAGTTTACTTAAGGTGTCCTTTGAGTCGATAATGCCCAGT